ACAGAGCTAAACAGTGTCTCGCTGTCTCATGTGTGAGCATGAAGGTTGCCAACTCTTCAGGATTGCCCTGGAGTCTCCAGGAATTAGATATAAATCTTCAGGAAACTGCTGGATAAATGATAGGGCATTCATTAAAATAAATGATAAATGATATGGCATTCATTAAAATAAATATTAAATGCTGAATCCCATTTATACAGTAGTCCAGTGGGTTTTTAAAATGCAATAGTAATGTGCATTCGCCTTCCTGACTTAAAGTCGACACACCATGCTCTGTAACTGCTATAGTCAAGCATGCAGGCATGTTCACATTTTGTCGCGGGCATGTTGGTGTTCTGGAAACCTTTGGAATAGATTCAGAGTTGGCAACCCTAGTAAGCATGTGCGCATGCACACACACTACCACAACCCATCCCTTCCCCCTGCACTTCCTATTATCCTCACACACCTTCTCACTCCCACACACATTTCCCCCCATGCTATCGTCTTCCCTCAACATCTACATAACTTCACCTATATAACCCTTCCCATCCCACACAACCCCCACTCCCACCCTCCATGATACCCTTCTATACCCTGAGCTGGGCAACACAAATCTGCCTTTTCCTAGCCCTGGTTCTGGCCACGCACACACATTCATGGTCCTAGGCTGAAGGTTTAGTGATGGCTGTTGTTCATCAGATGTCTCTGCCCCATAGAATCCAGGAAGATCGTGGGAGCCAGGAGGAAGAGCAAGAGGAAGAGCAGGAGGAAGAGGAGTGGAGTTATGATGATGAAGAAGAGGAAGATGTGGAGTCAGAAGAGGAAGACAATGACAATGTAGAAGATGTTGTCCCTGTGGAGTCAACCTTCAAAGAATTCAAAGACAAGCTGGACTTTGATGCCTGGGAGAAAATGCTGAAGAGCATCCTGCCCTCAGGGGAGGAGGGGGAAGTAGAGTGAGGCCTCTCCCCAGAGCTGGCTGAATCTTCATGCTGGACATGCCAAGGCCAATTCAGTATAACCGCAGGGGCTTTCCCCTGCTGCCCCACCCCAGAGCTGGCTGCATCTCAGTGCTAGGCAAGCTCTCCCTGTGTGGCATTGGTGTGAGGCTCTTCCCTAAGCCTTCCCACCCCTACCTCTGGGTGTCACTTTCCAGATGTTTGCCTTTTCCCTGCCCACACCCCCATCTAGCATAAGAACTGAGGTTACTGTTGCGAAGAAGATGCTTGAGGCCAGGCTTGTCCAACAAACGACCCGTGGGCTGCCATGTGGCCCACCAAGGCATTTTCTGAGGCTCTGCCCGCCCGCCTGGCCCGAGGAGCCGATGCCCGCCTGGGTGGCCACAGCCGGTGCCACGGGCTTGGGGCAGGCGCAGGACGGAGCCTTCGTAGGAGAACTTTGTCTCCAGGTGGTGGAGGAGCGGCTCCACTCGTGGGCCCGGGACACGCTGGTTGCTGGCGGGGGGATGCACATCTGGGAGCGCCCGTGCTCCTGCCCCCACCTTCCCACCCCGACACAAGCCCGTGCCCTGCGCTACCAGAGTGGCCCCGCGTTGGGGGCCAAACAGCGGCTGCTGGCACTGCTGACCCGTGCTTGCCTCCTCGCCAGCCCCGCTGCTCTGCCCTGCCCTGCCCTGCCCCACAGCAAGTTGGTACTTGCTCCGCTGGCTGGCCTGGCGGGCCCCAGGCTAACCCGGGCCTGGCCCTGCGGCTTCTCCAACACCAGGTCAACCTGGTTGTAGCCAAGTGGCTTTTTCAGCACCATGTCAACCTGGGCATGGCACCAGGCCGGCTGGGCACCAGGTCTGTAAAAATACTGTCCAGTGTTTGGATTGTGGTTGCCTCTGTTTCTCTTTGTGCGGGATTGGGGGTTCAACTTGTTAGTACTTGTTAAAGATGTGTTACTAACAAATTATTAATTCAATAACAGTAAATCTTCTTGAAGATTATTGTAAAAAATGCCCATATTTTGTTGCTTCGATTAGTTTCCACTCTGGCTGATATCTTTTCCCCGTTTGATCTGTCGACTTGCATTATGCTTCTTTCATTCATTGAGAAGTGAGTCGAAGCGAATGTGTTTATTTTAGTCAAGTGTTTGGTATTATTTCATTCTTGCTTTTATATTGTTTTTATTTTGGATTTTAAACCACATTTCCAGACCCATTTCATTGTCACTTCCTGCAACTTCATTGGCGTCAAAGGTTATGTGACATCACTTCCTGATGTGATAGCTCGCCAGCCCACTGGGTGATAAAAAGTTTGTGATCCGGCCCCACATTCAAAAAGGCTGGACATCCCTGCTTGAGGCAGACCTGCACTGAGGGATGTCTGGGCAGTTCCCGGCTTTGGGAACTGGGCTTCAGAGGAGACGTGGGAGGTTCCAGCACAGTTACAACACACCCTGCCTGGGCCAGATCTCCAAAGTCCTGAATGTAGGATACCCCAGCAGTGGTCATGCTGGGAGGACAGAGGATACTGGTCTTCTGCCCCACAGTACACGCATCCCACCAGACCTCACTCGTCTGAGGACCCAGGAGTCCTGGCTCTCAGCTTCTCCTGCTGCTGTACCTTGATCTTCTACCACAGATTTAGGTGGAACCCAGAAATCCCAGCTTCCAGACCCCCACTTCTCTAACCCACCAGACCCTACTCCCCTCCCAGACAACCCGGGTGTCCTGGGTCCCAGGATTTTTATCCCTTGGGCCATTTGCCAGATCGAATCACAGGGAAGGAGCGGAGGAGCACAGTCAATTCTAGCAGCCCAGTGAAGTGAGAGTTAATGACAGCGGGAGCAGGGCTGCATGGAAGTGCTGAGTCAAGGGGAGGCGCAGCAGCTGCAGTAGAAGCTGCTAAGTCAGCACAAGCCCTGTGCTGCAGCCACCACCGCAGTGTGCATGGGGAAAGGAAGGAAAAAGCACCACCAGGACATAGGCCACTGCAGGTCCTGGCAACCCGGGAGAAGGACCATTGTAGCCTTGCAGCCACAGGACAGCTAAACACCACGGAGGGGAAACAACACAGGCCTCAGGAGACGAGTCCCAGCCCCATCACAACTGGACGTGGTGCTCTCAGGAGACAGGGTGTTCCAGCTCTGAGCTGGCAAGACACTGTATTGTGAGAAGACAGGACATCCTTGCCACGGGAGACAGGCTGTGGTACGCTGAGGAAACAGGACAGGACAGCCCAGCCTCAGGGAGCCCAGTCGTGGCCGTGGCTGTGGGGATAATGGCCTCCATTCGGGAGGTGTCCAGCTTTGCAGAGGACCTTCTGTGTCCCGTCTGCCTCTCCCTCTTCCGGGACCCACGCCTGCTGGAGTGTGGGCACAGCTTCTGTGCACCCTGCCTGGAGGCCTGTGTGCCTATGGGGCAGCGCCGTGGGCTGTGTCCGGCTTGCCGGCTGCCCTTCGCACCCCGCCGTGTAGCTGTCAACCGGGCCCTGCGTAGCCTGGCTGACAAAGCCCGGCTCCTGAAGCTGGATGAGGGCCCCCCCGCAGGTGCCGGAGCTGGCTGGTACTTCTGTGAGGAGCACGAAGAGCCCCTCAAGCTTTTCTGCAGCCAGGATGAGGCTCCCGTCTGTGTGATCTGCCGGGACTTGCCCCAGCACCGGGGCCATGACTTCCTACCTGTCAAGAATGCCGTGCAGGAGTACCAGGTGGGCACTCGGATGCCTGGGTCCTTGGGTTGAGAGACAAGGGGCGCGCCTACATGAGACGTTTACTGTGCATTAGCCTAATAACACTGCACAGTGGCATGGTGGTTAAAAACCACGCTAATAGCTTACTGCGCAGTGTTCTTAGGCTAATGTGTAGTAGGTGTCACAAAATTACCATGGGCTGGTGCTACTGAGCAGTGGAGGGGAGTGGGGTCCTGGAGGCTAAAGCAGAGGGGATGGGGAGCCAGGATGCCTGTGCTCTAGTCCCATCTCAGAGCAGTGTAGGGTAAGAGAGGAAAGTGTTGAGAACCAGGACTCCTGGGGTTCTCTCCCTGGCTCTAGGAGGTGACTGGGTTTTGGTGGGCTAAAGCAGGGGGTCCACTGGCCCCCAGAATGGCTTGGTTCTCTCCCCTACTGGTGCCTAGTTCCCCTCTGTCTAAGTGGGCATGTCTCCCAACAGGGGATGCCACCACTGGGTTGCCCCAGATGCTGGGTTCGGCCTCTGCCCAGCCCCCCACCCCCAGCACTGCCATACCCCGCACCTGGTGCCTATTGTCCTGACAAGGCCCCTGAAACGATGAGGGCTCTGTGTTAAATTAAAAATAGGATTTGGAAAGTTTTACTTGGCTTGGTCTGTTTAACTCTGCTCTCCCCAAACGCGTGTGTGTGTGTGTGTGTGTGCGCGCGTGTGTGTGTGCGCGCGTGCGCACACATGTGCAAATGTTTAACACTGATGCTGTGGTATGGAAACAGAGCTGGTCTGCACTTTGTGTGTCTCATATATCCTTAGTCACCAGCCCCACTGTTGCTATTTTTCCCTCCTCTCCTTCAGTGCTCCCTCCTCACTTCCTGCCCCAGTTCCAGTGCCTTCATATGTCCTCTTTCCCCCGTGCCCCAACAGTCCCCATGACCCAGCCCCCCACCTATCCTCCACCCCTTTCCCCTCCTGGTGCTATGGCTTCCCTGCCTGCCCATTACTCTAAATTTTTCTCTTGGGCCCTCTACCTTTCAGGACCCTGGTGTTCCCATCCCAGCTGGACAATGTTAAGAGCAGTGGGGTTGGGGGGGGGGGCATCAGGCACTGCTGTTCTGGGAAGGGCTGAGGGACTCTGTTTACTCCCCATATCTCAGACTTATATCCACTGCAGAAGGGTGGGCAGAGAGTTGTGTGCTGCCCCCTCACCCCCAGCTCCTTTCAGATTGTCTAAAACACACAGCAGAACACAATCCTTTAGAAGAGGGTAGTGCACCCCCCACCCCTTACACACCCCTTGGCATAATCTCAGCAGGGGCCAGCACACACACACGCACACACACACACGCGCGCACACACACACACACAACACGGCACAATTTCTAGTAGGGAGCAGTGCATACATACATACCCACCCACCCACACACAGCATCTCCCTTGGCACAGTCTCTAGCAGAGGGTAAGACATGCATGTCCACACATGCTGCATACAAGGTGTTGAGTGGGAATTGGGGAATGAGAGCCCCAGTCTGGGCTAATAATCAAAGCAGGGCAGGAGCCTCCCAAAACCACGCTGGGGCTGGGGCTGGGGCTGGGGCTGGGTCTGGACCCTCCTCCCTCCTTGTGGAGAAAGGCTGCCTCCCTCCCCATCCACCTCAGCCCTGCTGGTGACCCTGGGGTTTCTCTGCCACCCAGGACCAGCTCAAGGCCTCACTGGAGCCCCTGGAAGAAGGTCTCAAGAGACTCATCAGGAACCAGTGCCGCCAGCAAGAGAACATCCTAGAACTGAAGGTAGGAAGTGGCATGCTGGCAGCCAAGGATACTTGGGTTCTCTCCCCAGCCCTAGGAGGCAAGTGGGGTCTGGGGAGTTGGGGCTGGCAACCAGGACATCTGAGCTCTGGGAAGGGAGTGAGAGCTAGTGGGTTACAGTGTGAGTCAGAAGAAGGAAGGAGTGGAGAATCAGGACTCATGTGTTCCACCCTTGGCCCTAGGGCGGGCATAAGGCCGTTGTTCTGGTGCCTGCTGGCTCAAGGTTGACTTCTGACCACTCCACAGAGCTGTGCGGAGTCCCTGTCAGACCACGTATCAGGGGAGTTTGAGAAGATGCACCACCTGCTGACAGTGCGTGAGCTGGGGCTGAAGGAGGCCCTGGAGCAGCAGCGGCAGAAGAACCTGGCCCAAATGGAGGACAAGCTCCAGGAGTTCAACTGGAAAGTGGCTACTTGGACTGAGACCCTTTCGCAGGTGCGAGCAGGGCTGGAGCACAAGGACCATGTCAGCTTCCTCAAGGTGAGAGGGGCTGAGCTGGAACCAAGGGGCTGGGGCTGGCAGGGACCAGGAAGGTGCTGTGGGGAAAGTAGAGCATGGAGGTATCTCAGCCTCTCTCAAACACATTGGGCATGACTACACATTGCCATACAGAGATGTAACTGCGCCGTGTTTTAGTACTTGGTATGCGGAAGTACTAAAACAAGGCGCAGTAACTGTCCTTACTGGGGCAGATGGGCAGTGCATGCTTAGATTGACCGGCTATGTTGCCGTAGCAGTGCACTATAGCTGTGGAATATGCCACTACAGTGACGTAGATGGCAATGACTGTAGATGGACATGATCCCTACATTACCATAGGGCAATGTGTAGACACACCCAGTGGGGACATGGTGTAAGGGGAACTGTTGACATTGTTGCATTGGTGACCATCCCACCACCTTCTTCTCACTCCACCACCTTCTTCTCACCCCTTCTAGGATGCTAAAGAACTGATGGAGAGGTGAGCAGTCCAGGGGCTTTCTGTCCTCATTTTCCCCAGAGAGTTTTAGCCATGCAGGAGGGCTGGAGCCAGGGATCTGCTGAGCTTGGCCCTGGCCTCTGTGAGCCCAACTTAACTAGTAGGCTGTTATCCTCTCCTGGTATACTGAGCTATAGCATTTGAGATACATGAGTACATGATCTGAATGGGTAGATCATGGTCTTCCTGTGACTATACCACACACCCTCAGTGAGTGAGCTACAGGGAGAGTAACCTGATCACTGGTAGCTGTAGTAGTCTTTTATCCCCTGCTGTGTCAGTGTATGCCAGCAGATGCGCTGGACCTCATCAGCTAGCAGCAAGTGGTGGGATGTTAACCTAGTATGTTGGCCAATACCTTACACTACTGAGCTCTGTCACTTAGTACAAGGGAGTAACCCCATTGACTGGCAGTGGTAGGAGGCTGTTATCCTGACCCCGTCATTGGTTGGCAGGGGAATGCAGGCCATTATCTTAAGCCATTCTTTTCATGACACCATTGCCTGGCAGTGGGAGGTAGATCATTATCCTTACCTCCCCATTGGCTGTCAGCAGAAGGCAGGCCATTACCTGCCATAGGCCACTCACACCAGCTCCCAAGATAGGTGATGCCCTGGTGGTCTCTGTAGGGTCCGTCAGGGGCAGGGACCCCAGGGGAAAGAGGCAGAGAAGACGGAACAAGTCGAGGTAGAAGAGGAGGTGAGAACCAGCGATGAGGACATGGATGAGAGTGAGAAAGAGCAGGAAGGAGAAGAAGAGGAGGAGGAAGAAGAGGAAGCTGAAGAGGAGGAAGAGGAAGAAGAGGAAGAGGAGGTTGTGGAACAGGAGGCCAAAGAGGAGGAGGACGATGAGGTGGTGCCTGTGGACTTGAACATTGGAGAGTTTAAAGGTCCCCTGCAGTTCTATGCCTGGAAGGAGCTGCTGGCCACTGTCCACCCAGGTGAGAGGACCTGGTCCTGCCTCTATGCTTCAGGAAGTGGGGCTGGGAGGTCCAGCAGAGGGATGTCCTTCTCAGCAGGCAAGGCTGGATGAAAATCCCAGAGCAATTTTAGGTGCTAGGAGGCACTGCGGGGTGCGGGCGGGGGGAAGCACAGCAGAGGTCCATTTCCATTGGCAGGCAACACCCAAGGGCAACTCTCTGCGGCACCGTGCTGTGCAGAGCACAATGGACAGAAGGTCATCAGGGGCTTATTCCTGGGCTATATGAAACATGACATAGCCACCAATTAAGTCTGTCCCTCCATTCCCCCAGCTCCAGCCTGCATCATCCTGGACTGCCGCTCAGCGCATCCCAGCCTGGTCCTGATCGAGGAGGCCACCGGCGTCAAGTTCAGCCCCGGGCGGCGGTTCTGGCGCCGAAAGCCCGAGCGCTTCACTGCCAGCCCCTGTGTGGTGGGCCAGGAGGGCTTCACCAGTGGGCGGCTGTACTGGGAGGTGCGGGTGGGTGATAGCATTGACTGGGTGGTGGGGGTGGCTCGGCGGTCAGTGAAGCGCAAGAGGCGCCTGAGCTTCCGCCCACGGGAAGGTGTGTGGGCCGTGGAGCGGAGGGGTGAGCAGTACTGGGCCCTGACAGAGCCCCAGACTCTGCTCTGTGTGGGTGGGAGGCTGGAAAAGGTGGGGGTCTACCTGGACTTCGAGGGAGGGCAGCTGTCCTTCTACAACAGCACCTGCCTGAGCCACCTGCATACCTTCCAGGAGGCTTTCCACGAGGAGCTGCTTCCCTTCCTCAGCACCCACTCCAGCAAGCCCCTCTCCATGTGGGACCTGGAGCTCTGAGCCACTGCTCAGTCCTGAGCCAAGGCCAGACTGAGGCTCCCTGAAGAGGAAAGGCTCCATCCCCATCCCTTGAGCCAGGCAAGGCTCCTACCCTGGGGCCATATTGGAGCCAGTGCCCTGTAGAGGGGAGAGATCCTATTTCTTGGGGAAATGAGTCCCTCAGGCCCCAGGCTGTTGAAAAACTGTTGTCCTCCATCCATGAACATCCACTATTCCCATTCCCAGCCTTTTCACTCCAAGGACTGGATCCAAAAAAGGGATGAGGCAGCCTTAAGGTTCAGGGTAAATCAGTTGAACTAGGTACCCCCTGTGTGGCATCCCTTTCTCCCTATACTTGATGCACCAGGAGACTGGGACTGGGATCGACCCCACTCAAACCACAGGCCAGATGTGGCCAAACTCAGTAGGCCACAGAATTAATTGGTCCCCTCCCCGCCTCACTCCCATTGGGATTTCTCATTCTGGCCCCAGGGACATCGCATGCTAGACTGTTTCAGCCTCAGTGGTCTGATGTTTGGGTCACTCTCCTGGGTGGTGGAAGCAGTGGGTCTCAGCCCTCTCAGGCTGAGGAAGGGCACTTGAACCCAGGTCTGCCTGCTTTCTGGGTGAGTGCCTGACTCCCCAACTGAGGTAATTGTACCCACTGGGGTGGCTGGGTGTCAAACTCCTAGCAAGAAGGAAAAACACAGGAAAGGGAAATATCTGTGGATGGGGAGAACATCTTGGCAGGCTCCCTGAGGTAGCTGGTGAGCTATCAGCATTGTTGAGGGGTGACAGGAGGCCACGTGGAGTCTTGGGATTCACAGCAGCATAAAAGTGGGTACACAGAGATCTCCACCCCCAAAACATTAGAGGATCCCTGCAGCAGGATTCTACATGGCAGGAATGAAGACACCTTGGCAAATATATGTGTTTGTCTTTTTGCTGGGGTCTACCACAGTGGGAACCCAATTTAGGCAGAGGGAGTGCTTAATTTGGGGAAGCCCATGATGGTTTGGGTGCTGAGCTGCTCAGGCTGGGGTCATTCTGGACAGCTGAGTAGCTAGGACCGTCCTGTCACTCAGCTGGACTTAGGTGTCATCCATCCTCCATGCACACCCTTTGTCCTCAGCCCTCCTCTCCTCACTGTGGGGATACCACTCCTTCCATCCTAAGCCATGGATGAACGGCTGGGTACTGCTGCTGACTTGCCTGAGTCCAGGCCCCCTGACAGGCAGCCTCTTGCAAGGCAGCCTCACAGCCTACCCCACCCTCAGTCCTTCTTTCAACCTGAGGTTCAGCTTGGTGCTATCATTACTGGTGGCTTTGGAGGCAGCCCTGCCTTGAAGCCAGCCCAAACAGGATCTCACTGCCTCAAGGTTTCTCCACCCTGACAGCTGCTGAATGGGACTCACAGATTTTTGAAGTCACCCCCAGGTTTTGATGCTGTGACCCAGAGACAAAGGAAATGTCTTCACATTTATCATCGTCATTGTTGCTATTGGGAACCATCATCATCATCATAGGTTCATGGAGGACATACAGAAATTATAGAGTGGTGTGTGGAGTTATGCTTGCTGTCCCCAGGTTGCAGAGCAGACAAAAGGGTATTTGTTTTTTCTCATGCTTCTGGTCTTCGCTTCTTAGCACATGAAACCAGGAAGAATTGTTTTCTTTCCTGATGTTACAAATATTGGTGTGTGTGTGAAGGAGTGGGAGGTAGGTGTGGGTCCTCTTCCTCAGAAGGATCGGCTGTTGACTGCAGTCAGTGCTGGGGATTTTGACTGGAGTTTGCCAGTGCTCCTCCTGGGACTAAAACCCAGAGGTTCCTGATTAGAGGGTCTTGCCTCTATGCTCAGGGTCAGACCAATCTTCACATTTGGGATCAGGAAGGAATTTTACCCCAGGGTCAGATTGGTACGGACTGTGGGGGTTTTGCCTTCTTCTGTAGCAGGCAGCCTGGCCATCCTCCTTGGATCTCTTGAGTGCATGTTAGCAACCTTAGGCAGACAAGGTTTTTTGAGTAAATCCAGTATCTTATTAGACCAACTCAAATAGTTGAAACAATTCTTCTTAGCAAGCTATTGGGCACAAACACCCCTTTTCAGGCTGAGGAAACATCTACAGATGGTCTGTGCTCTTCCTGGATGCAGGAGCACATGGATCTATATTTAGTCCATGATTTTTTGTATCCAGTAGATTTATGAAGTGAAGCTTGTAGGCTTGTCTATGAAAAGTGTTTTGTAAATTCCCTTTGAACTGAGAGATTGGAAAAAGAATGGTTGTCTTGTGAGAAGTGGGAACCCAGAATTAATTGGATATTTTTGTCTTTGATAGATTTGTGGTGTGTGTTCATTCTGGTACGTATCCAGGTTGTAGCCATATTGGTCTAGAGGAAAAATCAATCAGGACTCATAGTAGAGATGATATCTTTTATTAGACAAACAAGATTTTTGCAAAAAAAAAATTCTTTAATTGCAAGCTTTCAGGCACAAACCACCTTCATCAGGCATTGGAGAAAAGATTGTAAAAGTTCTCCTGGGTAGAAATGAAAGTTCATGTTTCATGGGATTTCACAGAGGAGTCAATAGATGTAGAACTCCTCTGGGCAGCAAGTTCATAGCTGGTATGGAGCCTCTCACCTCCTGTCTTGATTGCCTTCATTCTGGTACGCAGTTGTTTGGTTTCTCTAACATATTTTCCATCAGGGCATTTAGTGACAACCCTGTTAGCAACCTTTGCAGTGGTGGTTCAGTGACTGCCATTGTTCCTCTGCTTTACCTGTGGCAGGTTAAAGTGCTCTTGGTGTCTGGGCAATATGCCTTGTAGTTGTGTGACAAGGTTAATTATATAGTTTTAGGAACAGGTTAGACACGAACTTGTATGGGATGGTTGGGATGGCAATGATCCTCACTTGAGCAGGAGGGTTGGACCAGATGTGACCTCCGAAGGCCCGTTCTAGCCTGACTTTTTTATGATTCTATGATCTTTCTGAAGCAATAGTACCTGTCTGAGCCTCCATTTTTTCTCTGTAGGGCCCCTCCTTGTGATCACTCTGTTTCTGTAGAATGATGGATCTTCACTATGACTTTTGCTGATGGCAATAAATTTGGTCTCAAGAGCCGTTGATCCCATTGCCTCTGTGGGGCTCCCATCTCTTAGGGGAGCAGGTGTGTGTGTGGGGAAATATTGAGGTTACATCTTTCAGGGTTACTCACCAGAATGGATCAGGGTCCCAGCTACGGACATGAGTTTACTTACCAAGAGTAAGTCTGGAAGAGCAACGTTGAGTTTCTAGAAGGCCCCACCTTCTGTGAGTGTAAACAAAAGGGTTAGCCTAGGCTTAAACTAGTTACATGCTGGCCTGAATCCAGAAGAGGTCTGCCAGAGACCATAGCCCTGTTCACTACATACAGCAGCAGCAGTGTGAGGTTATCTTGAAGGGTTTGGATTTACCCACCCTTCACATACCTGGGTGAACATCTGGAGTGACTCCACTAAAGTATTAGGAGCCATTCCCCACTTACATCCTACGCTGGGCTTCTCAACCATGTCAATGTAGTCTAGCTACAGGACTGCCTATAGACTTCCTGAAGCAACTGCCATAGGCTGTGGGAAGGTTATTCCAGATTTACCCCTTAGGTCAGTGTTGATCCTCTTGGCCTCTTTCCTGTGTAACTGAGCATGGTTAAGCAGGTTACTCTGTTCCCAAGAAGTCTTACACACCGTCCTGAGTGTAAGTGGCTGTGATCTGGGGGATTGCCCAGCCCCCAGGAGACTTGGTCCCTTTCTCAAGAAGGGATAGGAACACTCACCAAGCCTGGCTCATGATGAAGCCAAGATCAGAGGGAGGGGGAGGATCATCTTACCTTAGTCTCATGCCAGCACCACTTCTGAGGAAACAGGTCTCTCAAAACAAGCTTGGAGCAGTGCTTTGAAAAAAATGCAGAGTAGGGGAACTGGGTTGGTCTCTTTTCCTGAGCACAGTTAAAGGTCTTTTTTTCAGACCTGCAAGGCGGCATCTCCATACTTAATAGGGTTACCATATTTGCAGTTTCAAAAAAGAAGACACGTGGGGGGGGAGAGGGTATATGAGTCGAGGGGAGGGGGTAGTGATATGCCTATGCCTTGCCCCTGCCCCTCACTTGCAAGCCACAACCCCGCTCCCCAGACCATGCTGGTGCCCCTCACTCCCAACCCTCAGCCCCCCTGTCCCTGCTGATACCCCTCATTCACAGCCCACTGCCCCCCAGCCCTGCTGCTGCCACGTACTCCTGACCTGCAGCCCCCTACCCCCCCGCAAGCCCTCCCAGGGCCACTCACTCCTGACCCACAGCCCCCAGACTCCCCCAGCCCCGATGCCCATGCAGCTCTCTGCTGCCCCCCAAAAATGCCCCTGCACCCTTCCCTTGCTGCTGCATCCCCAGCAGGCATCCAGGCGCTACACACACACACACACACACACACACACACTTACCTGCCTGCAGCTGCTGGGGCATACACAGAGCACGTGATGGCCCTTCTCCAATCACCTTCCCCTGCAGCCCCCAGCCCCAAGCAGCTCCTTGCTTAGGTAATCCAGGATAACAGAGGCAGAGCAAAATCCTGGACATTTGCTGACACTTCAGGTGGGAGGAATCTGCAGGCTTGCAGGGACTACAGCCAGCTGCAGGCAGTCAAACCTAATTACATGTCTCCTAGAGGACTGGGACAGCAAAGCTAGATAATTGACTGGCCACAGGAAGTTATAGGCTCCTATGGAAGGTAGCTAGAGGAGACTGAAATCAAAAGAAAGACTGGGAGGCTGAAGATAGCAGCACCAGCCAGGGCTCTCTCCAGGCCTAAAAGGCTACAGGGTTGGGTTAACCCTTTATACAATATGGTAAGGCATGTTACTAAGGAATAATTGGTGTTTAAGGGGACCACAGAGGGGCTGGGGGGCCCCAAGAGATAAAGACTGTATAGTTTAAAGATTGGAAGAAACTTGAGAGATGTAGAGTGAACCCTAGACATGCTACAATTCCCCCATCTCCCCCTCCCAGGAAGAATCAACACAGCAAAATGGACTAAAATGTGTTTGAGTTGTTAGATCCCCCAAATAATTCAGCAATGGGATGATATTATTCATCAGGGTTGTGTATGTGTCTGGGGGGGGGGGGGTGGAGAGGGGTAGGGGTCTAACAGGGACTCTATCCTCCACTCTGGGAAGTGAATGGGATGTAGTGTGTTAGAATAGGGGGGACGGGGAGCCAGAGCTCCTGGGTTCTTTGTGGGTAGAGCGTGGTTGAGGGGATTGGAGCAGGTGGTGGGGCTGGAAGCCAGGATTCCCGAGTTCGTTTTCCCTCTTGGAGAGGGGAGCAGGGTCACTGGGAACAGGGTCGCTGTGAGCCAGAACTCCTGGGTTCTCTCCCAGCTCACCTGAGGCAGTGGGGGCTTCTGGGCTAGAGCAAAATGGGACTTAACATGGCTCATCTATTTCTCAACACCCTGGGAGAACCCCACAGGGCTCACAGCTGCCTCCCAGGCAGGTTGGACTGCCTCAAGCTGCAGCAGGGAGGGCTCCTATGACCCCGCATGAGAGCTACTCTAAACAGCTGGCTTGTCTCCGGTCTCCACAGGTGTGTGCCTGATGGAGCCATGGGTGCGGCTGCTTGGCATGGAGAGATGCCATCTGGCTCAGGGCCCAGGCTTGGAGTGGGTGAGGGGTGGGGCTTCCTGGGAAGTGGGTTCTGCCCTAAGAGCTGGGTGCTCTGGGACAATGGCCAGACCCCAGCAGGGTATACAAGGCTTAATCAGGTCAGCTAGGGAACAGACATCTTTGGAGCTTTACAAGGTATGTTGCTACTTGCCAGGGCTGTGGGGCTGCAGGGAGGGAGACTCCTAAGAAAATGACTGGGCTCCATGGTGCATGAGTTTTTTAGAAGGGTAGTGTGGTCTGGGGAATTAGAGAAGGTGGGGGCTGGGATCCAGGATGTCTGGGGGGTTTTCAGAAGGGGTATGGGATCTTGTGGCATGGGCTCCAGCCAGGACTCCTGGGTTCTCTCCTTGCTCTGAAAGAGGAATGGGTTCTGGTGGGTTTAGAGTGGGTGGAGAAGGGGGCTGGGAACCAGGACACCAGGCTTGTCTGGGAGGGGTATGGATTCTGGTGCATCCATACTTAGGTCCATCAAAGCTTTGGGAGGGGGGAGTGGAGTCTGGTGGTTGGTGCATGGGGCATGAGGGAGGCTGCAGTTGGCATTTCAGTCACTTATCTGGCCTCAGTCCTCCCCACCACCCGGGGGAGAGGGGCATAGGCATGTTGCCCCCTGCATTTGCCCCTTAGCCCAGGACCAGGCACAGCTTTCTCTGACCCATGTCTATAAAGAAGTCTAAGGTTTTGGGTGGACTGGGGGAGGAAGAAGGAGGGGAGGAGAGAATCCATGCTCCTCAGCTTCATCCTTTCCGGTATGGATCAGGGCATAGAGAGCTCAGATGCAGGCACTGTCTGGCTGTCCATACGTTCTTCATTCTTTTTCTCCTTAATGTTACCTGTCTGTCTGTCTTCCTCTGTAGCTGTCCAACCATCTGGCCTTCTGCCTCTTCCAAAGCAGGTCAGGGTCTTTGTAGCAGGTGGCAGTGTCACACGCTAAGTCTCTTCCCTCTGCTACGGGTGGTGGGGCCGTGAGGTTGGAGTTGCTTTCTCTTGGAGGTGGCAGGCAGCTGTGAGGATGTCTCAGGTGGACACAGAGCTGGAGAAAGGCTTGCTGGCCATCTTATGCACCTTCCACAAGTATGCCCAGGGCAAGATGGGTGACCTGCACCAGGCAGCTTTCCAGAGCCTGCTCCGCAGTGAGCTGTGCCACCTGCTCACGGTAAGGCCCTGCTCCCCACACCAGCAACCTGCACCCCCCCACCCCATCCCAGTCCCAGTCCTACTGATGCCCCGCAATTTTGACCTGCCAGTTCGTCCCACTCTCAACCTGCACTTCCCCTGTCTCCCACTCCACAGCTCTGCCAATTCCTATCATTGCTGAAAGGCATCACACTATTGATCTGTTCCTTGGTTGCTCTAGTCTGTAGCCTACACACACGTACTCGGACACACTTTCCCCTAGGTCTCATGCTCACTGGCAGGGGGTAATGCTTCCTGCCCCTTTTGTGCCCCAAGGCCACAGAATCTGGCAGTGTGACGGTTCCCCCCATGAATGGCTGCGTCCTTATTGCTTTATAGGACACGGAGCAGCAGGAGACAGTGAGGATGGTGTTCATCAATTATGATGCTGACAGGAACCAGAACATCTCATTTGATGAATATGTGAATCTGATTGCATACATCCTTCGGAAGCTCTGTGTCAAGCATGGAAACTGAGGCATGCTCCCAGCTGGGAGCTGCCACCTTCACCTTCTAAGGCCAAAGGAAGTTTGTCTGCCTTTCGCTCCTTCCCAGTCCATCCCCAACTCTCTGTAACCTTCCCACTTGCTAGCCCTACCCCTCTCCATGCCCTGTACAGAGATTGGCTATATCTAAGCAGCAGCCAATAAACAGAGAACATGTTTTTATAATCCTGTGTCCTGTCTAAGTCAGTCTTTTTTTTGCTTTGGAAACCTATTAGTCCATCCATCAGTTACCCATCCTCAGATATACCTCTTGTGCTTTGTTTTACTCACAAATATACTGTTCTATCCAGTCATCCCATCCTAAGGGATACCTTGTATTCCATCCACCTTCCCTTGCTCCCGATGATTCCCAGTTCATCTATCCATCTACCTTCCCTTCCATCCATCCACCCAACTATCCTTCAGTCCACATATATATTTTCCCATCCATCTGCATGTATCAGTCCACCCACCCACATATATTTCATTCCATCCATGTATCTAAGCATGCATCCTATATTCCAAGAGTTTCAAACTCATGTGGTCCTGTGGCATCCTTTTTCTGCACGCTGGATCTAGCACATGTAGCACCCGCTCTGGTCAGACCAGGATGTGAGCCACCTGCAGCACCCCCTACAGCTGGTTCGGGGTGGGTATGTGAGCCACCTGCAGCGCCCCCTACACCTGATTTGGGGTGGGTGTTGCATGTAGTGCGGGTGCCAGCTTGGACACTGTGTATGGTGCAGTCTTGGACTGGCCAGAGGCAGCACTGGCTCCAACATGTGGGTTCCTGCCTTGGCACAAGGCAGTGCCCTCTCCAGATGGTCTAGGACTTATGCTGGGTACAATGGTGCTGTGTATGATGAGCCTCCTGGGTCCTGCATGAAAGGCCAGTCCGGGGCATATTGCATGTAAATGGTCCCATCCATTCATCCATCTTCCCACCCTCCTTCCCTTTAGATATCTTCCCATCCATTCCTCCACACGTGCCCCGACATTCATTCTTTCTCATGCTTACTCCTTCCAAATTCTTTACATCTATTTGTCTGTCCTCTTTCACCCCTTTAGAAACACTTTACTTCTGTTCTTTCCCCCTCAGGAGCTCTATCTCTAGTTAAAGGGTGTATTTAATGGGAAAAAAGTAATAGTAATTGACCAAAACCAAAAAAAAAAAAGACAGTTACCAATTTTAAAAGCTAATTGGCTTAGAAACATAGGAGTCAATCTATTTACAAGACACGGAGGGGAACATGGGAGTGAGGGAGGGGGAATCTCTCGATGGGGTTACAAGAGGTCTCCACAAGTGGCAGGGGAAAGTGGGGGAGGGTTTCCATCCTACAACAGAGGAACTCTGTGCACATGGGTCAGCCCCTCATGGGTCTCAGTGGAAGAGAGGACTTTGATGAGCCAGTCCCACAGCAGCAGGATCACAGACATGACCAGCAGGCCAGGCAGGAGGAGGAGGAAGCGGTAATGGAAGAGGTGCCCTGGAGGAAACAAAAAGAAAAGATGTCTGTGGTGAGTGGAGTGACCTGAGGGTAGACTAAAACATGCTTACACATGTGTATATGTATGTTTGCACATATGTGAGTGTATGCGTGCACAGGCAGGAGTGTGGCCCTCTGTTAGGGTTTTGCTTCTACAGGCACCATAGCATCAACATCCATATTTGCTGTCCATGCCTGCCCTTCCAGAACCTACCCCCTCACTCCACCTCTATGGATGTATTTGATTTCCCAGAGGTGCCTTCCAGTAGATCCAAAGCATTGGATGCCAGGGGGAGGAGGCATATGAGTGGCCACACAGGGATTTTGGTGCAAAAATCAGCAGATGGCTCCTCACTGCCCATGTGAAGCAGCAGCAGAGCCAGAAGAAGAACCTAGGTGTCCTGAGCCACTGCCCCCAAGCATCACACCATGCATCCTGGAGGGAAAGGCCTTCTGACTTGCCCCACCCCTCGAGCCTGCTAGCACCCCCCTTCAGGCAGACTCACCCACAGGCGTCAGGATTACACGTGCTAGGCAGGTCTTATTGTGGCCCAGGAGGACCTGGTACTCCCCCTCCATTTCTGCTGTCATATCCTGGATGACGAGGCCCAGTGGATGGAGAACAATATGTCCCTGAAAGGCTGAATCAAGATAGTAGGCCTGCCCCAGAGCCAGCACCAGGACCCAGGCACATTGGACATGCCTAGGGTCCAGCTTGCATAGTGCTGTGCTTGCCCAAGGCAGGTGGAGAGGGATGGTGGCTTGGACCCCTGGTGCCACGAAGCGGTGGATGATGGGACACGTGCCAGGATCTGGGAACAGACAGGGGGTGAGATACACACCAGCTCCTCCCCCTTGGGCTGCAGTAAGGGTAGGTGTCAGGCTTTGAGCACCCTTGCTGGTCCAGCCCAGTACATACCCGTCTTCCCAGGTGCATTCTCAGTTCACTCCCAGTAGATAACCCATTTTTTTCAGTATCTTCCTAATACAGTCCCTCTTCCTCCAGCACATACCTAATCCACTTTGTGTACAAACCCCATTGTTTCCTGGTATATCCCCAGTATGTACAACTCTTCTTCAGTGTCCAGTACACTTCTTATTTTTTCCAGAATATTTCTGATACAACCCCAGTATGTACCCATCTCCCCCAGTTTATTCCCAATATACTCCCAAGACACAGCTTAGTTTCCCCTGTATATCTCCCTGTATATACCCAATACATACCTGTCTTCCACTGGTATGTTACCAGTTTGCTCACAGTAGGTTCTCAAATCTTACCAGTACTGTCCCTACATATCCCCTGTACACATCCCTCTTTTCTAGTATATGCCTAGGACAATACCCCAGTTTTCCAAGAACATTCCCAGTATACCTTCCGTACACTTCTGCTTTGTTCCCAATATATAACCAGTACATAGCCCAATTTACCTAATATGCCTGAAGCTCTCCCATCTATACCTCTCTACCCTCAGGTACGTCCAGTTACATTCTCAATTTCTACCCCAGTATATTCCCGATCCTTTCCTACTCCTCTAGGATGCCTTCCATTACAGCACATCACACTCATAAACTCTCTCCCTCTCCTCACCTGCTATGTTCCCAACCTGGGGCAGTGGCTTAGCCTCCATGCCCTCTCCTGGGAAAAGACCCCCGAAAAGGAAGAGCACAGCCCTGTACCCCACCCCTGGGGATACCAAGTGCAGCTCAGCACCCCACATCCCTCCAGCTCTGCCACGGCAGCCTCTGCTCTGCCATTCCATAGTGATGTCACAGTGCCCCATGCTCCACATGTTCTAGGGAGGTGGACAGATGTGGGAGCGGAACACAACAGCTGGACACAACAGCTGCCCCCTAGCAGCAGCAACTGCAGTTGCCTGTCTTGATGCTATGTGGTGGGCTAAGGCATCACATCTGGGGACCAGATGTGCCCAGGGACACAATTATGGAATGAGGTGAGCACTGGCTGGCCCAGGGCATGGGGAAAGGAAAGGGGCCTTTCCTTTCCTGTGGGGCAGTGGCCCTACATCTTTGTGGCTCACTGCAGGAAAGAGGCACATGCTCCCTTCCTTGCTGTCCCTTTGTGCCTGCAGTTCACACAAAGCCATGCCACAGCCAAGGCACTCTCAACCCCTTCCCCGTTCATCCCTTAGGGGACAGGAATGGGTTTCCTTCATCCCTGTACCAGGTTCCTTGTAAACCCAAAAGCCTTATGCCAGTGGCCTGACCAGAGGTTACAGCCCATGCAATTTTTCTTTAACCCCGGGCATATCACAGAAGAGAAGCGTGGGGCAGAAGAGAGACAGACACTCAGGGGAAATGCTGGCTCCAGCTATCCTTCCCTGCCCTCCCATCCCATGACAGAGGTCACAACAGGCCTTTGCTGAGTGCAGTGGCTGAGGCAGCACATTGGTGAGTCTGTGCCTAGGCAGGATGCCGTCCTCTGCTGTGATGCGTGTGGTGCTGCTGCTCTGGGCGTGCTTGGGTGAGTCTGGGAAGGCCAGGGCTCCCCACTGCGGGGCAAGGACAAGGGGTGGGAACTGTACAGAGAAAGATTGAAAAGAAGTTGGTTAGAAATGTGAGGGGAGAGGGGTGAAATCCAAAGAAAGCCAAACTTTAGGGTGAACAATACACAAGCCCTTTTTCCGTGCTGTTCAGCTATGCTGTGTCTGTCTCTCTCCCAGAGACATGAGGAAAGGGACTGCGGTACCGTAAAGCTGGTCTATGTCCCTCCCAGCTATACAGGTTTTTTTCCCCCCAATAAAAGGTGTCATCCACAAAAACCCTTGCCTTTGGCATTTCCCCCTACATTTTTCTTCCCCTCCTATGTGGAAAAATGGGGGAATTTTCCAGAAATGCTCTCCCTTCTAGGATTTTGCTTCCCCCCAACCCCCCAAAGGAAGTTGGATCATTTAAAATTACTAATTAATATTTGGTAACTGCTAGCAGTGTGTTATTCTCAGTTGTTTATGACTAATGTGAACCATTAAGTCTAACCATCCTTCCTCACTCATAGTTAAGCATTTGGGGTAGGTAAAAAAGGTGTCTATGGATCTTGCGGTTTCAACCCCTGGGGAAAAAATATTCCTTTAAAGTGTGGTCTTAGTGGAAGATATTCCTTTGATGCCCCCCACCTCCCACAAGCAAACCCATCCATAGTTTCTCCTTCTTAGGGATTGTGCCTGGGCTAGGCGATATGAGGCGGGGGGAAGGTGCATGTGTGAGTGCGTGATACTGTGTGTGATATGGTGGAAGGGTATAGTGAAAGGGGATTCACTGTTGTGGGGTGTGTGGTGTATGTTGCCACAGTGCCTGGTTGTGGGGGATAGAGTCACAGACCAGAGCAGGGTGTGTGTGTAGCACCATACCTGAAACGGTATGGGGGGGACACTCAGTGTGTGTGTGTAACTGTGCATGTGAAGGTAGAGTGTAGAGGGGCTATTTGTGTGTGTGTATGTGTGTGTTGGGGCAGTGTGGGTGTAGCAAACTGTGGGGGCATTGTGTGGAATGTTGTGGGGTGTGTGTATGTGTGTGTGATGGGGTGTTGTTGGAAAAGTGTTGGGTGCTGTGTGTGTGGTGGGGCCCCTCTGCTGGGGATTACAATGTGGGAAGTAGAAGGGGCGATCACACTGAAGGGGACGGTGTATATTTGTCATGGGAACATGCACACGTGACATGTAGTGGAGATAGGAGTGTCATAATGTGGGGAGCGGGGGTCTGTGGTGGTGACGGGGTGGGGGGTACATGGGAGAAGAATGGGGTCATGGTGTAGACTCAGTGCCTGTGGCCATA